TAATGCTTAGATCACATGTTGTATGAGTGCACAGAACACCCTACAACAACCTCATAGAACCTCAGAAAAGAGCTTTCTTGGTGTGGAAATGCTCTGTATAAAAGCACTAGCCTCTTCCCTATATTCGGTCCATTTGACAATTTTCAAGTGAAATGTAGTTTTGAAGTGTAGTTTTTCAGGGAGACAGAGCAGTGTAGAGAGCACAGTCAGACAGCTTTCTAGGAAAATAGTCATTGGCAGAAGAAAGAAAAATAAATTGGCCAAAGGATGTTGACTTCGAGTTGCCAGTGGAAGTGTGATGAGACACTTTAACTCTATCACAGCTTGGTTAGATCCAGTTAGGATCCTCTCCAGGTGGAGGAGATTTCCGAGATCGACCGAATCAATGGTCTGGAGAGTTCAGGAGGGATATTGTGTGGCAGGAAGACAATTGCTTTCCCAACCATTAATGACTTAGCAAACAAAGGTTTGCTATCCCTGAGGAGAGAATGAGCAAAGTTTGGCACTGTGAGCCTGCATGATTAGTACGAGGATGAGTCACATCCTCAGATCTTGACCCACTCTGCATGCAAATCTTTTTTCTTTTTCCTTTTCCTTTTTGCAATTTTTTGTTCATATCAGGCAGCTTTCTCTGACATATTTAATAGAAAGCCTGTATTGGCCATCATTACACAGTTTAAAATTTTATTTATCAGATCTTTTTAAACATTTGTTTATTGTTTAAAATTCAGCTAGCTTTTTAATTTCTTCTCACACTGAAACTGCCCCTCTGTCTTTCGAGTTACTTCAGTTTCTCTTTTTAGGATATTTTTCTATTTCCATATATCCTATTTCTTTGTGTATAACAGTTAAGCCTTACATGTTCAAAAAGCCATAAATCCATTTGCCGCATTGTCCTACATGCCCAAAATGGGACCAAACTGAGATAAAAATTAATATAAGTGTTGACTCAGGATCAGACTTCTTTTGAAAGGGGAGAACTAGCAGTGCAGTCTCTCGCAGTTTAGAAAGTTTAGATTTTAGATCATTATAAGATAATTTTTATCTGATTCACAATCATTTTTTTCTGCCTCAGCCTATATTATTTGCCTTTACTTGTGCAGAGGATCTAGAGGTAGTCCTAAATGTACTGAGATCACTTTTCTGAGAGAGAGAGGGAGGAGGAAAAAAAAAAGTTTCTGGTGAAGTGTTTTGTTCTCTCCCATGAAATCCAAATGATTTGCCTAGTAGAAGGGGACTCCATAAAAGGGAAATTCACCAGCCTGTTAATGAAGGAGTGGAGGTAATTAAAAGAAGCTGCTGCTGATACTCCCTCCCTCCTCTCTCTCCCTCCCCCTTTATTCCTTATTCAGTGATTATATTTTCTCTTTCTCTTTCATGTTGGCCAAAAATGTCATATGTTCAGAGAATGGTTGAGATTGAGTAGATAACGGCAAGAAGAGTGAAATATATATATATATCGCAGTAATGTTTACCTGCCAAACCCATGATTTTCAAATGAGTTTGAAACAACCCCATATAACTTTCCCAGTCTAATGCTGCAAATGATTTCTGAGAACCAGAAAATGAAGCTAAAGAGAAAGAAAGTGGATTACCAATGTTCTCACTGTTCAAGGGGGAAGAATGCCCAGTTTTTAGAGGGTATTAATGGTGAAAACCTAATCCAGTCTTCACAGTTCTTTTAAACAGCTAACATACTACTTTGCAGGGCAATTCAGTATGCAAAAATACGCTGGGTGAAAAGCAGGAGCTTGGTGCTATTTGTGCAAATACAGTACACATTCAAATTATTGTGGGACTGCAGCCAGGTCACTTGGGAGCAAGCACACAAACCTCATGTTCAGCCTCCTGGCAGAGAGCACTCATGCCAGAGGCATGATTAATCTCAGCAAAGGAGAGTGTTTATGGGGTGTCACTGTACTGGCTGAGCTGCCTGTTATGGATGCACACCAGGCAGCTGTGTTTGGACCCACATGCTGGGTTCATATGCTTCTCCATTCCCCTGGGCCTGGGCAGCTCCAAGCATCGTCTGTGGCCCTGGCCTCTCAAGCACACTTCCCATGCACACTTTTATGCTAGTGCCTACTGTTGCCTCCTCTTTTAGCCCTCTTTTTGGGACCACTGTTAAACCACAGAGATTATAAAGGGTTATTTTTATGCTGGCTGCATTCAGCTATTTGGCTTAACAGCAGAGATAGAAATCAGAACAAATATCTGTACAGTTTTCTTCCTCTTGGACACTGGAGCATTCTCTGGGTTATGGACAGTGCCAAAGCAGCTCCAGGTCCCTTTCTTTTGTATGGTAGCGTGCCAGCTTAGCCTTCTTTACCTAAGGTATAGATATATCTCCTCCATGAAAATCCTCTGAGAAACTCCCTTCATTTTTCAGAGGTAAAGTCAAAGCTCTCTCTGGCTCAAAGACTATTCCTTCTTAGTATGCTTCTTCCTAACTCTTCTGTTTTGTCCTTTTTACTGGTGATTTTCTCTGACTTCAGTCTGGGACATTTCATGATCAAAATGTAAAGTAAATCTCTCCTTTAACCACCACTATCTTACTTTCCCTAAGGTGATTCAACTTGAAGATCATTTGTGCTAAGGGTTCATATTGATCTGTGTTGCACTTCTTCAGCTTTAATCTAGGAAGTACCTCACCCACTCCATATTCGGAAAAGCTTTGTTGAATGATAATGGCAATTCCATAAAATTTACTAAAGTTTGTTCTGTTCACTTAGAGAAATGTCACAAACTACCAGGCAGAGTCAGGGACGTAAATTAATGTCCAAGTTCATGATCTGTGGTCAGCTCATTCACTCTGAGATTTTTTGGGAACTTAAAACTATGAAATCAGTGTTTTGGAAATCTGTATTAGCACATAGTACAGAAAATATTTGTGTTGTGGGCCACCTTATCCTTTGATAAGTTTATTTCTGACTTTGCTTCTTATTTCATACTTCACAGAACATACTCTTTATTTCGTAACCAGTCGAGATTTATGAGTTTAACTTTGTGTATAAAAAGATGTAATGGGCTGGGTAAGCATTTTTACCATATTTTGTTCCTGCTTTTCTACCTGTAATTCACTAAAACTCTCCTGCACCAAAACAGTCCAAACGGATTATTCAAAATTCATGTCTAATTCCAGGATCTAGAGCCTATTTGGGTGTCACTTAAACACTTAGATATTTATGCATGGTAGGATATTCTTCATCTGGAGCTCCAGTGGTGCAGCAGGTTCTACTGATGATAACTGTGTTATTGCTGAGGCCAGCCTATTTGTTGTGGAAAAAACAGCATGTAAGCAAACACGCAAAGTATATAAAGGAGACAGTGTTACTGTCATGTTTTTACCACTGGACTAGAACATAAGAAGTTGAAACAGGTCTTCTTACCGAACTGCTATCTTTTTATTTCAGTCAGGTAGCAGTGTCAGCTCGAACACAGAACAAAGTAGTGAAACTCATACTGCACCTGGAAACTACCCACAGTCTTTGTTTTTATGGAATCTCTTTTCTTGACCTTGTGGCCTCAAATATGAAAAGCTGCCACACACACTCTCGCTGGCTATAGATATTCCTGAGATCCTATTTCAAAAATGTTGGGGTTTTGCAGGGTATGTAATACCTGTGCTGAACTTTTCTTCCCTATGCGCCTGTACTTCTCTTTAACCTTCTGTGTTCTATCCAATGTTTCACTCCCCTCCACACATGGATCTCATAAATTCAGGAGGGAAAATGGCAGGTGAATGCCTGCTCCAGATAAAAAGGAGAGATATGAATACCTGCCTTCCTCTGATGATATAGGCAGGGATTCTGCCTACCTTTAGGGCAAATGCTGAAATACTGTTGCTGTTACTGTGCTGACCCATGATTTTCTGGATTCAGGAGGTCTTTGCCTAGGTTATAAATCTGTTTTTTCTTAAGTATGTTTTTGACTTAAGATATGTGTTATATTCTTTCACCATGATTGCTTTTTTTTTTTTTTTTCTTTTTTTTTTTTTTCTGCATACTACTGCCTACTGGTACTTTTACTGGTGCTGGGGTCGGTCCTCTTTAATATCTTCATCAATGATCTGGATGAGGGCATTGAGTGCACCCTCAGTAAGTTTGCAGATGACACCAAGCTATGTGCATGTGTCGATCTGCTTGAGGGTAGGAAGGCTCTGCAGGAGGATCTGGATAGGCTGCACCGATGGGCTGAGGTCAACTGTATGAAGTTCAACAAGGCCAAGTGCCGGGTCCTGCACCTGGGGCGCAATAACCCCAAGCAGAGCTACAGGCTGGGAGATGAGTGTTTGGAGAGCTGTCAGGCAGAGAAGGACCTGGGAGTGATGGTTGATAGTCGGCTGAATATGAGCCAGCAGTGTGCTCAGGTGGCCAAGAAGGCCAACAGCATCCTGGCTTGCATAAGAAGCAGTGTGGCCAGCAGGGCTAGGGAGGTGATCGTCCCCCTGTACTCGGCTCTGGTGAGGCTGCACCTCGAGTACTGTGTTCAGTTTTGGGCCCCTCGCTACAAGAAGGACATCGAGGTGCTTGAGCGGGTCCAGAGAAGGGTGACGAAGCTGGTGAGGGGCCTGGAGAACAAGTCCTACGAGGAGCGGCTGAGGGAGCTGGGCTTGTTCAGCCTGGAGAAAAGGAGGCTCAGGGGCGACCTTATCACTCTCTACAGATACCTTAAAGGAGGCTGTAGCAAGGTGGGGGTTGGCCTGTTCTCCCATGTGCCTGGTGACAGAATGTGGGGGAATGGGCTAAAGTTGTGCCAGGGGAGTTTTAGGTTGGATGTTAGGAAGAACTTCTTTGCCGAAAGGGTTGTGAGACATTGGAACAGGATGTCCAGGGAAGTGGTGGAGTCACCATCCCTGGAAGTCTTTAAAAGACGTTTAGATGTAGAGCTTAGGGATATGGTTTAGTGGGGACTGTTAGTGTTAGGTTAGAGGTTGGACTCGATGATCTTGAGGTCTCTTCCAACCTAGAAATTCTGTGATTCTGTGATTATTTTGTCAGGTTTGGGATGAAACTCTGGCCAAATCTGCAGAGGCTTGGGCTGCTACTTGCATTTGGGACCATGGACCTTCCTACTTACTGAGATTCTTGGGCCAGAACCTGTCTGTAAGAACTGGAAGGTAAGCAAATCCTACGAAATAGTTATTTTGTTACCCTTTGTAAAGCCTTTGGGATTCAGATCTTAAACTGATACAAGACTCATCCAGTATTATAGCAATAATTGATATCCATCTATAATTCACAGAGATTTTTCACTTGGGTTGGGTATTGGCTTAATACTATGCTCCTAATGATGTTTTGAGAAATGTACTTTTAGGTGACTTGCATCATGGGGATTGGCAGAAGAAAGTTCCAAAGTACCTTAATCTGAAATGACATATTTTTCTTTCTGCCTTTTAAATAAACATAGGTATCGATCTATTCTCCAGCTGGTAAAGCCATGGTACGATGAGGTGAAGGATTATGCTTTCCCTTATCCTCAGGATTGCAACCCCAGGTGTCCCATGCGATGCTATGGACCCATGTGCACCCATTACACACAGGTTACATAAATTACATTCTTCTATTCAAAATGTTCTGTCCAAAGATGGACTTTTCTGTGATGTATTTATAGCTTTCTGTCATATAAATGTATATATAATACATATGTATTTCTTTTCAATTTGGACTTCACCAATAATGAATATTTATTCAGATGGTTTGGGCCACTTCCAACCGTATAGGCTGCGCAATCCACACATGCCACAATATGAACGTCTGGGGATCTGTTTGGCGACGAGCTGTTTACTTGGTATGCAACTATGCCCCAAAGTGAGTTACTTTCTTTTAATATTGTTTATTTTTATACTGCATGCATGTTTGGGTATTCTCATAGGACTGCTTACTCATTTTTCTGCAGCCTGATCTCTATTTATGCTTTTTTTCTGCAGACTGCTCATTCATTCTAACATCACATTTGAACATGTTGCAAATGCGTGTCTTTGGTATACAAAGAGAAAAAAAGAGAGAAAAAAATAACCTGATATGCACAGAACAAAAGAAAAAAAACAGTTATTTTTTATGATTATTACTGTCACCATTCTCCTTGTCCTCTTCGTATGTGTTTGCTTAGCTTTACTTTTAATTCCTCATTTCTTCACTCTGTTGCATACTGCTATATGAGTTAGACTTCCTCAGGTAAGCTACAGGACTGTGTATCAAGCTGTTGATTTACTGTGAACCCACGTTTTTGCCCACAGGACACCTTTGCTTATAACCATGCTGCATAAGGGCAGCCCTAGCATAGACTTTTCTATAAAGCTCAGTGTCTACAAACCTCATCTTACCTTTCAAATTTGGGTCCATCAAATTATCTGTCATAGTCACCTGTGGATGACCCCTATTATGAGATAGCTGTGATAGTCTGTGTTAGGTTGAAATGAAGAAATTATTTTTTTCCCCAGTGTTCACTAGACATCAACTCAAGTGCATGTCTGGGTGCAGAATGAATCACTAAAGTGTGGATCGGGGAGAGCTTCAATTTAAGGTTTGGTTTGGACCAGTGCTTCAGAAGCAACATGGACAGTGTAAATGAATGGTCTCTCTGACCATTCATTTAATATATAATAGGCAGAGACATAGTTCTGTATAGAAGGCTAAGTATAATTAACTGAGCATGTTTTCCATAAAATTTTGGTCCAGGCACAGGTCCATTTGTGGTAAAGAATATGCATGAATATGTCATTATTCTAGCTGATACATGAGTAAAAGAAGTTTTAAAGATTTTGCAAATTAAAAGAAGATAGGATTTACTAAGAAAACTGGCTTGAAAAAATGGCCCTTTTCCTTTGGAAATAAATATCTCTTTTTTCTTTTCTCTTTAATATATACTATAAAAGGATGTTAAGAAATGAAGATGAGGGTTATCAGGCAACAAAAACTGAACTGAAATCAAAGTTTATAAGAGAAACACAGATACTATTTTTTGTATCACTCAATTTGGAAAAACAAAAAAAAATCTTCCTAGGATAAATCTCTCATTGTGTTAAGAAACAGCAAAAGAATGGTTTCAAGCATTAGGCATTACTGAAAATTGGCACACTGTTTATCTATCAGGTAGCAATTAAAGACATTTTATATTTTTGCAGCCTAAAAATCCATGTTTCTCAAAAGGCAAACCAAAACCTGGAGTTACAATCTTCTTCTCTGGAGGAGATTTTTCAGTATTTATTTGTTTCTTAGGTTGTAGAATCAGGGTTTTGACATCTACTTCTTGCACAGTCGCAAGAAAGAGTACTAAGTGGACTTCCCTGGTTTAAGGTTATATTCCTAAGAGTTAATTAAAATTCAGTTAAGGACACTGAGTTTAGAGACCTGGAGCATACATTCTGAAGTCTCTTTCTCAGTCAATAAAGGCTGCATCTGTCTGAGTAACACAGAACATCAGAAGCTTCTCTAAAGGAGAAGGAGATGTTATTATTACCTACTTGAGTTATTAAGATTGGAATTTGGTAAAGATTTGGGGTTTAAAACTCCAATAACTTTCACTAATACCATGTCGTAATGCTGAAAAAATACATATGCTTCAGAAATCAGGAGAAAAAAAAGAAAGGTTAAGGAGGATAATTACAAAATTTACAAAGATCCTGCACCTGGTTAACTAGAATGGACTCACAGAAGTCAGCCATGTGTTGCATTGAAAGTGAAGCAGAAATCAGCTTTCAGCAAACTCTTCCTGGATTTCCGTATCTGTTATCAAACTAAATATATTTCCTGAGCACTCAGTCTGCTGTACCCATTTGGAAGAGAAGTAGAAACGAGCAAATTATTTGAGAGATTCTTGCTTTCTTCCAAGGCACAATCCAAACCAGGGCCTTTGATCCAGTGTTATTGTCTGGGAGGTGGGGGGATGAGAAAATGTTGCATAAATAATTTTGTTACACACTGGTATATCACGTCCCATGCAAACTAGAGGAAAGATCTCTCATGAGTGAGACTTAATGTTTAAATGGAAATCTAATTTTAACTTTTTGCCTACCTCACTTTAAAAGCCTGGGAATTTATATAAGCACCTAAAAGTCTGAAAATGTTTTTCAGGCATTTCTAGATCTTCCAGTTACCTCTAAGTCTGGACCACTCTCCAGACTTCTATTCTTTTTCCCCAGGGCTCTGTCACAAACTCTAGAGATCTATTCACCAAGTGGGAGCCCTCCACCTCCCATTAATACCTGAGGCCCCTACAAGTTACAAGTGCCCCAATATAGTTCTTTTTAATATATTATTATTATTACTGTATTAATACTTGTCATCTTCCTTTTTTTTAAAAATTTTTTTTTTTGAACTGTGAATTCAGCCTCAGAGCTTCACAATGTGGACCCAAGGCAATGAAACCTGATACTCACTGAAGACATATAAAGGATATGGAATGAACCACTGTCCTGGGATGACATGGTCATTCTTCTACTGCTTTTTTTGGGGGGATCAGTATATTATTTTTCCATCAGTAACCTATAGAAATATATTCATGTATGTTTTCAGTAATGGAGCATTTGTAGGATATCATGCAAAACATTCACTTTAATCACTCAAAACATGTGCTGTTAATGAATATTTGTTCTTCCTCTCTCAAATTGCTAAGTATTTTGTTTCCTTTCTTATTTTCAGGGGGAATTGGATTGGAGAAGCACCATATAAAGTAGGAGTGCCGTGTTCTGCTTGCCCTCCAAGCTATGGAGGCTCTTGTACCAACAACCTTTGTTTCCCAGGAGTAACATCAAATTACTTATATTGGTTTAAATAAGTTAATGTTTACATTATTTAAAAACAAAACAAAAAAAAAATGGATGAGTAACAAGAAGCTTGTATATTGAATTTTGCACATGTTATATAGAGAGAGATCCTGTAATAATACTCTGATGTTTTCTTTTTGTATTCTTTTGTATAATTAGCTTTCAAAGTATAGTATAATTTGTTTTAAACCCTTTGGGATTTATGACTCACGTTAACCTGTTTAGATGAACATTTTGTAAAGGTGAACAAACTAATTTTCACCTTAGCAAGTGTAGCTTCCTGAAGATAGGTTCCGTTAAAAGCACATGGAAAGGTACTGTCAACTTATACTTAAAATATAATGTCCTTTTAAAAATAATAGGTCTAGAAAGAGAAGGGTCATTGTTTAATACTGTGCTTTAAAAATGGAGTGTGACATGCAAAGAAACAATTTGTCCTCACATTACCAATGTTTCTTCCCATTTACACCTGTGCTTTCATCTGCAGTGTCAATGGGACTCTGAGCAGAGGAAAACATATGTGCAAGAGAAACTGCAGGATATTACCTACCTCATGCACAACATTAATTCATTTATAGTGTTTCAAGAGTTCAGCACACGGCTGCTGCTATCATCAATGATGCCTGTGTGCGGACAGGAAAAGTAGAATAAGAAACCACACCGGCCAAGAGGCAGTAGCTGTTAACTCACATGCATAATCTTATCTAGGTAGAAAGCTACATCACTATATATATACTGGTATAATCAGTACAGCCAAACTTTATATTCCCGTGTTTTTGAACATTACATTCACGATGGTATAAATGTGCTTTGCTGCAGTTTTTCCTGTACAGGAAGGAAAATAAATATATTTCTACAAAGCAGTCTATATCAATACATGACATCCAAACTAAGCCTTTTACACTATTATCTCACCAGTATATATGCTAATCCCCTGACTGAAACTCATCCAGGTAAAACTTTAAGATGAACCTAAATGTAGACAATAGGATTTCCAAATAAAATATTAAAAATTAATTAAGTGACCTTAAAATTTCATACAGATTTGTGATAAATATTTCAAATTTCTAAAGCAATTGGCAGTGCCCTTTAAAATATGTTTTGCTATTTCCTGAAAATATCTGTATGAATTATTACAAAACAAATTATTCATACCCTTTCTATAAAAAAATTGAACGTCTTATGTGTGCTTACTATAATCCATAGCATACACCCATAAAGAGGGCATACATTTCAAGCTAGACTACTATACAGGTAGTTCTCTTGAAAAAGAGATTGTAAAAAGGAGGAAATCCAATGTCTACCACAACTAGTATGCCATTGAAATAGCCCAGAGTCTTGGCTTTATATTACATGGTGGAATGTACTCCACTTTAAGTATATATGTTTACTGTGCTTGCACTGCTACATTTAGACCTCTGAAATTTACAAACTTTGAAAAGTAATATTGAGGAGAGCAAGCAGAACAACAGAGGATAATTCCACTGGTGCTATGTGTCTTTAAGTCACTAATTAAGACCTTTTGAAGGTGTTTGAGACAGTCTTTTACCAGAATATGAAATATCATATTGGTGCTAAAACAAACAAACAAACAGAAAAACAAACACAAAGATGCCAGACCCTCTCCATCTGTCCATAATATGATCCCTCAGAGAATGCCAGCAACTGATCTGTGGCTCTTCAGACTTCTGATTAATGACACTCCTGTATTTGACAGGACCATAAACAGAGAATTATATTGTCTTAATATGTGTCCATGTTTTAAAGGGACAACACTTGTAATATTCTACTTTTATCCTAAAAATTATAATATGTATGATTTTCTTTGTGGTTTCAAATGGACCTGGACTTAGCCAATGCTCAGTGAAACGCTTTGGCTGAGTAAAATCCAGTACTGTTTTGAGAGTGAAACACAATCTCTTTGTGTCATTTACATACACATTGAAAGAAGTCAGTGAGACAAAACTACTATATGTGTAACTAGTCCTCAGCTAGCACAGCTTTTGACAAAGATGCATGGAACAGATACATTTTTATTCCACATAAGAATTCTTCCCCAGAGGTAAAGACAGTACAGTTAGAACAGTGCACCTTGAAATTTTCTTGTATTTATTAAACATATATACAAGATAGGAAGCAGAGCATAAGCAAAAGTTCAGGTTAAGTCATGGAGCCTACAGCAGTAGGTCTATTAAGAAATGACTATGCACTTTGGAACTTACAACTTATATGTTGTACGGTACACTTTCCAAACAGGACTAGACGTTGTAAATTAATTTATAATTCTGTAATTCAACTGAAATTATTATAACGGGTATATATGTTATTGTATCTGTTATTTTTTAACTTGCTACAAATACCTTGAGTTTGTGGAATATTGTGTTTTCTGTGGATATAGAAAACTTCACTTTTAACAAATAGGTTCACAGGTTTTTCACAACATCCTGTAATGGTGCTAGGCATTAACTATTGTAATCACACTGTAACTAACAACAGCAAAAAATTATCTGGGTATAAGCTATTTCTTATGAGCAGCTCCTGATAAAACCAGCCACTAGCACTCAAGCATTAGATGAATATTTTTAATTGAATGGAGACAATTACAGCAAATCAGAAATTTGATTACCACACAAGATGTTTCTTTCCACTGTATTTAATTATTAGTTTACTATCTGAATCTCCCCACTTTTGATCTTATTTTTCTTTTGGGTTGGATAATGACAACAACAGCAAATAACTACTTTGCTTGCCAGTGTCAGGGCTGCCTGATTGTTTGCCTGATGCAAAGTGCTGCTGGAACAGAAGTACTGAAATATGCTGAAAACTTCAGATGTTTTCAGCAGTTCTCTGATACATGTTGATGAAAGTTCTTGATGAGTTCAAGGTTATGCTGAAGCAAACTACCCCCGGTTGCTATTCTCATAGCCTTAAATATTTGTAGTAATTCTTTCTGAGGACAGTAGTGTGCCTTTAAAGAAATCCTGGCTGTCAAAGAAATTAGCTCAGACTTTTGTTCCATTCTAAATATAAAATTATGAAAGTATACACAGACTAGAATAAAGCTAAAAATATTCATGGTCAAAATACTGTGAGAGGTATAAGAGTAATAATGAAGTAGTTGTCATGAACTATTGAGTGCAACTGTTTATACGATAATATCTGCTTGTGATTTTTTTCTCTTTTTTTGCTTCATTTAAACATTTCAGATGATGGGTAGCAATTGATACATTTTGGTGCTAACCTATTTGTTCTGGTGCTGAAGTTATACACTATGTTTGTGGAAGAGGAGTTTTACTTCCAATATTACTGTATACACTCCAGGGTTTTTGAGATCTTTTCCAGCTAAGCATATAATGCTTTCAAATTACATTTTTATGGTTTATTCAGGCTCTAATGAGAGTTTTATTTGCAGCAGAGAAGAAAATGTATTCCTGTTCAAAACCAAAACAAACATCATCACAACAGCGAGGTGCCTGTGGAAAAAAATATGTGGAGAGTAAGACCTCTGAGAGCTATGATCTCAAACTGATGCTGAGCAGATCTGAGTGATCCCAAATCCTCTCTCTGGAGTAATAAATGACTTCAGAAAATCCAAGCTTGACCTTGCACACTTAGTCTTGAGAAGCTGTGTGTTCCTCTTCTCTGAGATCAGTTTGTTCCACTCTGAATTTGAGATGAGCTGGACCAGGCCTCAGTGAAGACCACAGGAGAGTTGATATAACCTTTATAGGGCTGAGAAAGGTGAATTCCACTAGAGATTTGGAGACAGCAAAATGAGACTTGAAGTTCCCTACCAACACGGGGAAATACCACAGTAATCCGAACGAGGAGACCTTCCAGAGCAAAGGTGCTCTATAACACAGCCAGGATCTAATAGAAAGAAATATATCCATATCTTATAGATAAATGGATAGATAGGTAGATAGGTATATGTATTTATAGATTGCCTGTGAGGATCTGGTTGCAAGCATGGATGCCCTCTTGTGGTTAAGAATGCTAATACATATTTAGATTAGATTTGACTTCCAAAAGTTTTTTTTTGTTGTTTTTGTTTTTTAAAGAAATAGATATAAATTTTGTTAATTTTCTTTAAAGTTTATGGCCTTGATTTTAAAGATATGTGACTTAGTCTATCCATTATCTTTGAGAAAAGTGGTCCATCACAAAAATCTTCCATTTCTTAATTTTTTGTCATTTGTAAATACAGAACTAAATCAAAATTATATTGGCTGTTGCTTATCTACCATACAAAGTTCTAAAAGTAAGAGGTAAGGCAGCTATTCAGATGTCAGATGAATTTTTGATTACATTACTTCAGATTCAGCAGTTCTCAAAAAGTAGGGGGTGGAAGTCTCCTTACTTAGATAATACATTCTACTGATGCCTAATAAAATATGGATTTTAAAGGTCCAAATTACACTTGCAATTTGCCCATTATTGGGCAAAGATTTCAAGATTTTTTTGTTTTCAAGATTTTTTTGTTTTCAAGATTTTTTTTTTTTTTTCTTCTGGAATAAAATGATATCACAGAATTTGAGCACACAGCATATTTATGGTGCTTTTTAAAATAGAGAATTCTTAGGCTCTAAGAAGAGCATGAAATTACTGTCAATAGAAAACTGAAATAACAATAACCTTCTCAAACTGCTTTATTTCAATAGAAAATAAATTGAAAAATGCAATAAAAAGAATAACATATCTGATTGATTCAACATAGAAAAAAATATCATTACTAATGATGGCTTCAAGATTTTCTTGCTGACCTTCAGTTGCTGAGTTTGTCTCAGGATATATTTATTTTCTGTTAGAGAAGAATCTTTTGCTCATATTATAAGGGAATGCATTCTAAAATTTATGTAAGTTAATGGAGCAGGCATAAACTTTAGGTAGTTGCCCCACTCTGCTGAGCTCCTCCAGGTGTGAAGTGTGAGAAAACCAGACTGAAATGGTTTCAATTCAGTATCATCTTCTTGTCTTCTGCCAAAGAGAAAATTAAGAGTGAAAAAGAATTTATTATTCCTGCAGCTTTTGGCATCTTATCATTTGGCAATCAGATTGTAAATTCTTTTAATACCCCTCATACTGACAATCCCTATAAATTATGCTTAGGTTGTTTTGGACGGCAGGAGAATAGAAGGGCTGTCCCTCAGCTTATATGTTTAACTCACTACAGCAATTCTTTTTCAAATCACTCAGCTGTTTATCATATTACAAACTCATTAGAGCTTCAGTACATCATAAGTGAGAAATCATCTTAGATATGTTATTTAAGGTAAAAAAACCTGTTCTTCAAGAGTGAGTGGTAATTTTGGAAGGTAGTAGCTCTGAGGAGTTAAACATCTTGTTTCATGTAGGGTGCTCCTAAGTAATAAATGGTGCTTAAAAGCAGGGTTCATTTAAAAAGCAAACCATTTACAGTTGCTTTTCTACTTCTATATGCTTTACAGTAAGGAAGGAAGATTTTTCTGAGAACTGAATGTGCTGGGGATTGGAAAATAATTACATTTTTAATCTTTCTATGTGAACCCAAGCTCCCCCATCCCCCCCCCCCCCCAAAAAAAAAAAAAAAAGTATTTATACAGTGAAATGTCCTTTCTACCCCTCTCATGTATCTTCAACATTTCTGGTTTAGACGTTATTTTTTTCCAATAATTGTGTATGTGACATTTTATCTTTTTTTTTTTTTTTTTTTTTTTTTTGAGAAGAAAGCTTGTGTAACACATACAGTGAACAATATACTGTTTTTTTTCATATTGTCGTTTGGTACTATATACATGCTATACATGAGATATAAATTTGTATCCCTGTTTCAGCCTTTACTACTTTGAAACTATAAAGAAATGTACGTCATTTTGATCTATTTTGTAACATCTATGCAGTTAAATAAATAAGTGAAATGATCAATACTTACACTTGATGTTCTTTTGAGGCATCTTTTGTTGTTTCTTTTATTCATTTGCTCTGTGGAGAAGACAAGTTTTCAGAGAGCTAGTAGAAGACATATCTAACTGAATTCAGTTTGAATATGTTTATATAAAGGTGTATGCTTTATATGTGAGCTTCATTAAATACTTGGAAGTCACCAGAATTGTGACATATAACAGTACTGAGAACCTGAACTCTTCAGTAGAGTTAGTGGTCAGGGGATGTTTTCTTCTGTGCCTCTGGGTAAGCTGACAAACTGGAACTCAGTCCAAAGACAATCATAGAATGTTAGAATCACAGAATGACTTGGATTGGAAGCGACCTTAAAGATCATCTAATTCCACCCCCCTCTGCCCTTGGCAGGGATACCTCCCACTAGACCAGTTTGCTCAAAGTCCCATCGAGACTGGCCTTGAACACTTCTAGGGATGGGGCATCCACAGCTTCTCTGGGCAACCTATGCCAGTGCCTCATCACCCTCATAGTAAATAATTTCTTTCTAACATCTAATCTAAATCTCCCTTCTTTTAGTTTAAAGCCATTACTCCTTGCCCTATGACTACACTCCCTGACAAAGAGTCACTCCCTAGCTTTCCTATAGGCCCCCTTTAGGTATTGGAAAGCTATAAGGTCTCAGTGGAGCCTTCTCCACTGAGCTAAACAACCCCAAATCCCTCAACCTGCCTTTATAGAACTTGTTCTTCAGTCCCTTGATCATATTTGTGGCCCTCCTCTGGACTCATTCTAACCTGTACAATGTCCAGGTTTTGGCTGAGATAGGGTTAATTTTCTACCTAGTCACTGGTACGGTGCTAATAATAATGTTGAAAATAATGCTTTATAACACACTAATGCTTTAGTTGTTGCAGAATAGTGCTTACACAGACCCAAAGACTTTTCTGCTTCTCATGATGCTCTGGCAGCGAGGAGACTGGGGGTGCACAAGGAGCTGGGAGGATACAGAACCAGCACATTTGACATATACTGACTGTGGCATACCACACCATATGATGGCATACTCAGCAGTAAAATCTGGGGGAAGGAAGGTGTAGGAGAATGTTCAGAATGATGGCACTTGTCTTCCCAATAAACTATTATCCCTAATGAACCCTGCTTTCCTGCAAGTGGCTGAACACCTGCCTGCCAATGGAAAGTAGCAAATGAAATTCTGATTTTGCTTTACTTGCACAAACAGATTTTGCTTTACTTAGCAAATGGTTTGTATCACAACACACAAATTTTCTCACTTTTATACTTCAGATTCTCTGCCATTACACCTGGGCGGGTAGTGTGTGAGAGGCTGTGTGGGGCCGAGCTGACTTCTGGGATCAATCCATAACAGAGGATATCCACTGAGGCACTATAATTGACTTGGCCAAGTTCTCTTCCATGGAAAGAACTGCAGACAGAAAAAGAAATTCTTCAGTACCTGAGCATTTCTTCCTCCTGAGATGGTACCAAAGCTGTAAGAACTACATTTGAAAACTAAAAGCCAGAAATATATATTTAAAAGAAAGAAGCAAGCTATGTCATGAGAACAAAGGAGAAAAAAAGGAGGGACATAAGGCAATTTAAAAATATTAAGAGTTGTCATCACAAAGGCTATTCAAACTCATTGTGAAAATGCTTGGTTTTCTTTGGTTCATTCTTCACATGTAGGAAAATTTGAACACAACAAAAGTCATTTTTCTTATAATTCAACATGACATAAAGTTATTTTACAAATTGTTAAGGGTTGATGTCCAGAGATGTGCTAGTCCAAGTGCAGGAGAAACTTTCTGAAAATTTCCCCCCTGGATACAAGAAAGATCTGAAGAAAAATTTAGAGATTCAGTTGGGAAGATATGATGGGAAAGAATAGAAGGAAGAACAGATTCTTTCAGAATGCCACAATGAATTTCTCTAATATGCTCTTTTCTTTTTAATGATATTGTGTACTTTTCATTATACCTGTTTATGATGTAGACATTCGCTGAAATTTGGGATGAATAAATACAGCCCAAATGTTGGCACTCTCTGGAAATGATTGTAATAGCATTACATCAAATATAAGTAGATAGCCAACAATATTCAGTGTTGTTGCTCATCTCTTCCTAATATGAGCACAGTACTATTTGAACTGTAACAAAAATAATTTGGTTTTGCCTAATTGCTTACTTTTGGATAGACTTGATTTGATTTCCTGTTCTCTCCTCCTCTCTTGTTTCTCCACCATCTTTCTCTTGAACTATGAATTAGTCTGCAGTGTTTGGAAAGACAATGTTAAGTCAAATCAATCCACTATATTCTTTTTCTTTTCCCTCTGTTGCCCTTTTCTTTGCATCTGATGCTGAAACAGAACTAACAGATGGTCCCCAGTGTGGGTCTCCCATAATTTCCATCAGTTAATCATAATTTTCATCATTTTCACACCCTGATTTTCTGCCTACAGAAACCAGGAGAAGCTGATGTGTATGTAACTCTCACCTGATATGGAGGCTGGTTGCAGGTGGGGAGTGTTTTCTCAAGTGTGGGAACTTGAAATCAGTTGCATAGCCCATACTTCAGATACAGGACAGGTAGACAGTCCACATGTAGTTGCACTATGGCTTGGAGTGCTTCTGTGTTATTGTGTAGTGGTCATTGTAAACTCATGTACTACTGGATTATTTTATTTTATTTTATTTTATTTTATTTTATTTTATTTTATTTTATTTGTTATAATTTTATTCTGGAGAAAGTGTCTTCTATTGCAAGACAGTATGTGTCCCCAGAGTAACAAAGTGATATGATAGGTAGTCAGTGTGGCATCCCAGCCATTTACAGACTAGGAGAGAGGGAGACAGCTTCTTCATGAAATCACACAGTGCTTGGAGGCCCAGTCATATTCTTTGACATTAGTATTTGTGTGTGTGTGTGTGTGTTTGTATGTTCTGTGTGTTTTCTTTCATGTTAGTAACACAATAAACTAAAAATTAGAGGGACAAACAGGCAGTTTTGTCCTATTTGATCCTTTTGTTGAACAAGGGGAATATAATAATAGTTGCATTCCTTACATATACATTATAACAGGCCTTTATAGCAACCTCATGAAAATAGGTAATGGAAAATAAAATGAAGAGTTATCCATAATGGGTAATAGGAATTGAGAATATATTTCCTCAACTTGGCAGTGCTTATAGCATTTTTTACTTTCTGTGGGATTTCTTCTCGAGCTCTAACTCCATCACTTTGAATTCTCTTTTCATCTGAGGCAAGACAGGTTTATTCGATTTGGTCTGTAAAATCTAGCACTGGACTTGCTCCACTGTATTTTTGTCAAAAAAGCTTGAAAGTATGTCTGTAAGCCCCAAACTCTTGAGTTCTTGCTCAATTTGCAGTACATACATCTGTAGCTGCAGCCTGTTTTCTGTAGATATTGGCAACAGTGAGAAATGGTAGTTTCAACCAACACAGACCTCGCATAGTGACAGGAGCTTATTGCACCTAGATCACATCCAGAGTCTCCCCTGTAGCTGAATGAGCATATGGAATTTCACCATTATTAGAAGCCAAGGTAGATGAATCTACATGTTTTACAATATCATTTTACTATCATGTAGAACAGCGCAGAGAGTGGTGTGTTAATATCCATGTAGGAGACTAAATGTATTTATGTTTTTTAAATACCATTTTTTCTACTATATGCTCTTAATATCTTTGTGGCTTTTCAGGCACTGTAGAATCCTTGGCTTTCTGCTTTTGGTTAGATTTAAGTTTGGCACCATTTTTTTTCTGCATTATTCTTCAAAGAGTCTTTGGATCTTTTCCTTGTTTTAGGGATCAGATATGTTAATATATTCTTCATATTTAATGGGATCTACCTGATGACCTTTCCAGATAATATTCTCTTTTGTATGCTATTTTTTATTTTTACCTTTCTCAAAACCTCCAGTTCTTCCCATAGTTGTAGACATCTTCATAGTTCTTCCTATAGTTCCCTGCAGCTCTTCCCCTAGTTCTAGACATCTTCACTCCTCCCCAATAGAAAGTGTACTACTTTCCAAGTATTATGCTTTATACAAAAATTTTCTATTTTACAATTGGAAAAAAAAAAAAAAAAAAAAAAAAGCAAACCACCACCATATGTACAAGCATAACAGAGATGGAAGTCTGAAACAACAACACCAAAAAACAATGTCTCCCTAAGGGTGTGTTAAATGTGCACAAACATGTGGTCTATTTTCCTATGGGTAATGCCAGAATCCTGCTGATATATCAGACATGGAAAAATATTTGGAATTAGCCATCTAAAGGATTTTTCCCCTAGCAGGTAGTGGAAAATAATATATATATATATTTTACATATCTGTTTGATTATTTTAGGTATGTCCATAAACAAAAGTAAGCACATTGTTTTTCTACAATGACCATTGAGTGTGTCTATTTTATTCATTCTTCTAACAACACTGCAGTCACTCAGAGCTGTATTTCAAAATGTAGGAACAGCATAGTTCAGTGAGATGAATGCAAGAGTATCTCAAAATTAGATGTCTTCATCAGTCTCAGGGTACCTCTATTTCCTTTCTAGACAAGGACAAATGCAGCTGGACCTCATGATGATGCAGCAATATTTACATCTCTAGTATCTGCTTCACTTGCTTCCACAGTTATATTTTGAAACCTTCACACTAATATAGCCTTGATGGTTATATAAAAAAAGCACTAGAAAAAGGTCTGAATGTACCTTTCAAACTGTACTGCAACTCAAGATTCATAGGTAGGAAATATCTGTCCATTACTTTGACCCTATCCATTATCTCTGGAAACTCATCTTAAAGTGAAGGTACTTGCAATGGGTACCCAGACTGTGGTACAACCTGGCTGGATGATGCACAGTAGGCAAAGGTCCTTTGCACATTGAAAACAGAGTCAAATTCCTTACTTGTTTTATTTCTTTTATTTCCAAAGCATGAACATTTTTCTCAAAATGAATGGAGTGACATGCTTTTAATCCAAAAACATATGT